CAAAATTGTTATTTACACAAAAACTATTACTCAAAAGTTCTTGGACGACATCTCTACATTCTGTTTGGACCACTATAATATCTCTGTCGGTATTGGAATTACAAGTGGTTTGGCAGTCACTGATAAAAACATTTCTAATTTAAAAATAGTGCCACACGACCCGGACTTTGTCAAACGGTCTGAAATTGCTTCAAAAAAGTGTGAGACAGTTAACGTAAAAATAATTAAAAAAGTTGACACTTTAAATGATATAAAATTCAAAGAAATTGTTGATGAAATGAAAATTAAACACTCAAAAATTTTGCAATTGGAAGTGATTAACAACGCCATTCAAGAATTTGATTTTTCAGATGTCGTTTGTAAAGAATTGGAGTTAAAAGTCAAGAGTGGGAATATCATCAAAGTTTCCAACAAGACGAATATCTACAAAATGATGGTGGAGACTAAAAATGGTGTAATAGATCTTAAAAACATTTGTATGAACAAATACATCAAGATACTAAAAATAGATGGGGAGGTTCTTCTCGACAAAACTGCAAAGTCGGAATTGTTTTTTAAACCACCAAAACACTTTTTTGAGTTGTCACTGAACATCACAAACCCTCAGAACGTCTTTTTTGATTTTTCCAACAATTATGGTCTTCTACAGAAAGTTTCATTGACTTCAAAGAACGAATTCTACGACTTCGGTTATTTTGAACACCTCGAGGAAATAAATGTGACGTGTTTAGCACCGAACGAATGTCTTATTAAACTTCCACATCGTCACAAAGACATATTGGACTATTACAGATCATCGCCAGAAAAAGTCAAATCATACCGGAAAGCACTTTTTGTGAAGAGTTTAGTCGCCAAAATCAAATTTGAAAGACTTGAGAATTACTCAGAAATTCACATTGAAGGAAACATCGATGAACTCAATTTAGAGGAGTGTCAAGAGTGCACTGTTTTGATTATTAACTCAACTGCAAATGAGACTAAAATAGTTCCTTACTATTTGGACTACAACATGGCCGTGAATAAAGTCTTGAGGAAGAAATATCCCTATGGAGATAATCATAAATTGAAAATATTTGGGATGCAAGAATTGGTAATACAAGGGAATGTGTATGTTCATGAGAAGAAATACTTGCCTTTAGTATACGTCGGAATAGACTCAAAAGTAAAAATTGATTCACCGTTCATTACACAAATTGTTGGATTTTCATTGGAAGACCTTTATAAAGAATCGTATTTCAGAGAAAAGAACGCATCAGAAATTATTAATGAAGTGAAGATTGTCGGAAATGTGATGTTTGGAGACACTTTGGGAGTTGTGGAGCAATTCGGTGAAAAGACGGTGTTAATATACAAAAATGGTTTGGACCAAAAAATTAAAAACATTAAACCAAATGTTGAGGGCAAGACAAAGAAAAAGGTAATGAAATTCGATAGAGATTTGAACGAATACGACGAAGAAAATTATGAAGAGGAAGATTTTTATGAAAATGAAGAAGAGTTGGGAGATAAAGAAAAACAGTTTTTACTGTAAAAATGTGATTCAAATCGATTAAAATAATAATTTGTTGGTTTAATACTTTCTGTATTTTGACCCTTCGAGGACCGGAAAAATCAAAATTTGTAAATAATAAAACTCTTAGTCAATTGTAATGTAAATGTGACATTTTTTTCTTTAATTTTTTCAAAAAAAGCTAGACACCCTGGACGACGGCTCTAGTAAATTTTTATAGCAAATTTTTATAAATTATAGTAAAAAAGTGAATTTTTTGTTGAAGTTGGGATGAACAAAGGTTCACTTTTTTGCTTGATTTTTTCAGAAACAAGTCACAGTTCAATGGAAAAGTCAGATCAAAATTTTATTGAGATGACCACAACTTATAACAATAATAAAATTAATTATAAAATATAACAAAGAGATAACTGTAACGTAAAACATACTGGTCCGGAATATTCAAAATCAATTGCATCATAAAATAACATAGAAAAGAAAATAAATAACAGACTTTGAGGTGTATTGAAATTTCAATATGCAATTGATCTCAAAAACAACAACAAGGGAAATTAAATAGATTTTTTTGTAAACTTTGAAAAATACAATAATTTAAAAAATTGGGTTTAATTTTTTTTGTTAAAGAAATAAGATAAGACGAAAAGACACTTTTGTTTGTTCCGACTTCGAAAAATAAATCTTAAAGAAAACAAGTGCAAAATAAACAAAAAATAACTAAAATACATTTTCAAAAGTATCAAAAATCGCAAAATCGAGAAAATTTTATAAAATCAACTTTAACAGTCAAAATAGTCGTTTTTAAATAAACTTTGATCACCACGAGGTTTTGTGATTGCTAGTTGAAATCCACGTCGTGCCACTGTCGAGGAAGCAAGATATGAATTCATTGTTTGTAATTTGAATTTTTTATCATTTTCAAACAAAAACAAAAGGCAAAACGTGTTTTATGCAATCTATTTAGAATATAAAGATTTGTATTTGGTAAATAATTGTTTATTTTGCAGCCATTGTTTATTCATTTTCAAATTATGCATTTTTGGGCAACAAACAAAAAACTTATAGTAAATGTATAGAGATAATGAAAAACAAAGAAAAACACAAGTGTAAAGACAACACAACTAAAACCAATGACAACACTTTAAACTATTTTTTATAATAAAATAAATTAATTCATTATTAATAATTTATCATGTTATTTATAATAGTTTTATAATTATGATTGTTAAATATTATAGTAACTCTCAATATACAGAATTTTGACACAATAACACATCAACAATCATATCTATACTACAACGTGATTTTATCGAAGTGATAAGTGATCACATTGATATAACAATGTTGTGTAATTTAAAAATAAATTGTATTTTATGTATGATTATAACAAAAATGATATAATGACCCTTTTTATAATGTTATCATTATAGATAATACATAGTGTTTATAATAAAGAGCGTTTTGGCTAAAATATATAGTTTGAATTTAAACAAAACAAATAAGCATTTAATTTAAAAAACAACAACACACTGGTTTAGTGAATGATCAATAAAATGATTATTTGTGATATAATTGATGTAGTTGTTATATAGATAACAATTTAAATTATTTGGATGTTAGAATTGATTACAAACTATATTTATAATATCATTTTACCAATAATAATAAAGAGTCTAGAATTATAATATTATTTAATATTATTGTTGATTTTGAATTACAATATGTTAATAACGCGAATAAAAAACGAATAACAAAAAACAAATTCATATTATTATTTACAATTTAGTGTATTTTTTCAAAAAATAAATAAATACTATTTAGATTCAAAAGATGTAAAAGTATTTTTTTTTTAAATTATAAGCAGTTAAAAAAATTAATTAAAAAAATTAATTAAAAAAATTAATTAAAAAAATTAATTAAAAAAATTAATTAAAAAAACTAGCAATTTTCTTTTGTTCTTCCATAAGAATGTTTTGGGGGATATTTTTTTCTCTTGAAACATTCGCCAGAACCGATTTTGCGTCTGATACGCCGGCTTTATTAATCAAATTTAATTGGATTTTCCCATTATTATCAATTCCTATTTTTATCGTAACAACCTCATTCCTCATTAATGGGACTTGTGTGTCAAAACAACCCAAAAATGTTTCGTCCTCTTTCAGTTCTACTCTGACTGAAGACGTCTCTGCGATAGCTGGGAAACTATATTCCTCCAACGGCAAAGGAGTACCTCTTTCCACAACAACAGGCCAAAACTCTGTACCATTACCATCGACTGCCATCATTTTAATATCTCTTGTGGTCACTTCATTGATCGCAATTTTGATACCAGAAGAGACTTCGTCGTAAGCATATTGGCAGGCTCCCTCTGCGACTACAGTGTAACAATTTTCAGAGCAGCACACCTTTCCTTCTCCAAAGTAGTCTGTTAACATGTTTCTTATTTTTGGTATTTGTGAACTTCCGCCCACTAAAATTACTTTACTAATTTGTCGTGGATTGGCCTGTACTTTTTCAAGATTTAAAGTGTCTTTGACTGTCTTCATACACTCATTGAATATATCAGAGCAACACATTTCAAAGTCCTTACGTGTAACAGCAATGGAATACTCTTCATATTCGACAGTAACACAGTTTAAAGTAGAAAGTGAAATTTTTGCCTTCTCGACAATTTGTTTCAACACTCTTCGTCTTCTTCTTTTCATATTTTTTCGACTAATTGTTTCATTTTTTTGTTCAATAAAAAGGTTGGCCATTTCAGTTGGAAATTCGGCTTTCCATTTGCTGATGATATACTCCACAAATTTATTGTCTATATCTAGACCCCCAAGATGCTGATTACCATACACTCCAATGAACTTGATGTTCTTTCCTTTCTTTTCAAAGACGGTCGTGTCGAGTGTTCCTCCGCCAAAATCAAATGCAAAGAACAGACCATCCTTCATCTTTTTGACTCCATAGAAATATGCAGCGGCTTTGGGCTCTGCTGTAAGAGTCACATCCAAACCGGCTATCTGTGCGGCTCGCATAGTCAAGTCCCGTTGTAAGTCATTGAAATACGCAGGACATGTTAAAACCACATTTAAACGACACTTGGAAAGATCACAGCCAGTCCTTTTAATAATACTTTTCTTGATTTGAGTCAATACCATTGCAGAGATTTCCTCCGGTTTAAGTGTTATTGTCTTACCATTATAAACAATTTTAAAGACACACAATCCGGTGGAGGCGTCTTGTTCGACATTGGGCATCGTCTCAATCATTTTCTGGACAGAAGAATCTGTGAATTTGACACCAAGTAGTCGCTTTGCTTCATAGACAGCAAGGGTATTATCGCCACCAACAAGAACTGGGGTTTGCCCAAAAAACACGGAAGAAAGAATAAACTGATTCCCATTGTCAAATACAATGGGTTGAGTGTTTCCTGTAGAAACGTTGAAGAAAAAACACTCACTATAGATAGTTCCAAGATCAATTCCTACAGAAAGTGTGTTAGTCATTTATTCAGTCAGTAATGATATTGGTAGTTAAGAGTGGTATATATATAAATATGATTTGTTCTTACTATGATTTATATAGTAAAAGATAAATAAATTTTTGTTAATATATCATCAATCTCATTTTTTAACTTATACCCGATTTTTGGCTTATTTGTAATCTATTTTATTGTAATAATTATTAAAATAAAGTCATGGTCTCATGACTTTTATGTAAACATCATTTCATAAAATAACTTAAAATATAGTATTTTTATAAATAAGTATTATAAAAAAGTATTAATGTTTATCTTTTGTTATATAATCAATCAAAAATGAACTTTATTAATTACGATGATACAAAGTTAGTTTAAAATTAAATAGTTTGTTATTAATAGTTTGAACAAATAGTTCTAAAATTAATGATAATAGCAAATGATAATTAATTATTTTTTTAATAAAATTAATATTAATTTATTTAAATTGTTATTGTATTTTTGTTGTATTTAAACTATATTATTTACTATTTGATACAAACTTGTTTTGAGTTTATGAAAAGAAAACTTGTATATCAAAACAAAAGAAATTAATATGAACAATAGTTATAAAGTATGTACCGTTGTATTTCTGGAACTTCCTATCGTCCCATTTTTTGTTTTTTGGCTAAAATAATACAACATACAAAAGAGCAATAATCTTTTATTATTGGATACTTTGAAGGTAATGTTTTTATAGAAATGCTCAAAGAAAATGTCAATTTTATTAAACTCAACAAAGAAAAGTTATTAAATATTTTTTATTGTTGTTGTGACAACACTATTAAGCATACTAATCTTCTAACATAGCTTTTGTTTTGTGAATATTTTATTATTTAATAAAAAGTTTGATAATGAAAAAGATTGACATTAAAATTTATCAGGTTTTGTATTAGAATGCACTTTTGGGATCAGTCATGTGTATTTTAGAAAAAAAATCCCGTTATTTCATATTTTATATGTAATTGTTAATTAGTGTTGTCGAAACACTCCCCGAATATTCCAGGAAATTATTTGGGGAATTTTATTTTTTTTATCAAATTCCCGAACCGATTCCGGAATCAAAAAATATTCGGGAATATTTTTAACCTCGGTTCGGGAACATCCTGATTCCCAAACTTAAAATTGGGTGTTCCCGAACCAATCAGTTCCCGAACACACTGGTTCCCGAACTTCATAAAAAAAATATTCCCAAACTTTTGATTCCAGAACACGACGGTTCCCGAACCGATTCCGGAATCACCAGTATTATATTAAAAATTTATTAATAAGCAAACTAAAAAAATAACAACTTTATTTTAATATTAAAATAGTAAAAAAATTAAATTATTCAAAAAACAATTGAATAATATTTGTCCAACCATAAAAAACTTGTACAGTCACAAAACGGTACTTAAATGTTTTTAATTATTGTTCATTTTAAAACGTCAAACAAATTTAATAATTATACACCAATAAGAACCAAATCAAAATAATAAAAATAATCAATTTTTAATTTACACATAACTTTATCAAGCATCTATTTTTTCTTGGCTATTATATTATGTTAATATAAATAAATACTCTGTTTGTTTTTATATAATAATATTATAATAATCATATTAAATAAATTGTTAATTTTTAAACCAAATTGGATTTTTATAATACCCATTTTGTTTTTAAAACAATTAATAATATCTAAAAAATGCAATTTATTGACATTGAATCAAACTATTCAATGATGTTTTAAACGTTGTCTGGTTGACTAAATTACATTTATAACGTTTAAACAAAATTTATGTAAAAAATCAAAAACTTTAAATATAAATGAAACTTTAATATAGTGGTATTTTGAAAAAATTTTATAAATATTCACATTTTAATAAAAATTACAATCAAAGTTATAAATGTACAACATTTTGTATGTTTACTTTATGTTTTTTAATCTATTATAATAGAATGAATTTGTTTTCTATATATATTACACAATAAACGTTTTATCATTTTGTTGATAATCATAGTTTTTTAAAATTACAATTCTAATTACCCACGTCACCTTTTTATAACCAAAATGTTTA